ACTGTGATATTATTTTTGATGAAATACGTAATTTGTTTCTTATAACTTCGTTTATTCGTAAAATGTACGAATTCAGATAAAACAATTCGATATGAAAGATTCTTTCCACGGCCGAAAGATCTAATAATGATCTAGAAAAAAGAAAAAAACATAACAACAACTCCTTTACTATTGAATAGAATAATAACAAAAGCAAAAATGATAAGAAAAAAGTCGATAATAGAAAGATGTTAATTAAAAGAAAAAAGATAAAAAAACAAAAAAAAACATAATTTATGCACCGAGTATCATGAGTGTAGCTATCTTCCATATTTGTGTCAGATTATATTCGATAAATTAAGTGTCAATGCTTCATAGAGCTAATCAAAGCCGAATTTCAGAATGTTACGTGTATCTAAATAATGTCATTTGTCCTATATGTTGCGTGTTGCCCTCTGTATATAAATGTACGACGATCGATTTGTAATACCTTAATTTTTATGCACAATCCATCGTTTCTTCCCGCTTTGCTTGCAGTGCATATATTTAACATCTTCATTCTCTAAGAACACGCGTGTGATCTTTGTCGATCTTTAAAATCTTCTCTTTGTTATCGGCGTAATATTATTCAATATAAATCTCATCGGTATTATTTCAACTATTCCACTCTATTTCGAGCTATAAGGATCGTCATTTTCTCTATTTCGCTGGTCTACTTGAAAGAACCATATATATACTAATAACGACCATGCGCATCCTTCGCAACAATAAATAATTGGGATTTTGTCGTATTTTCCTCGATAATCTATCACAGAAAAAAAAAATGAAAAAAGTATGGAACGATAGTAAAAAGAGAAAAAAAGAAAAAAGAACAAGAAAAAAAACCGAAAAAGAAAAAACCGATTATGGGTTTACTTTTTATACGAAAATCTTATTTTCTTTTTTTTTTTTATTTTTACTATGACATTTAATGCATTTAACAAATTGTGTTTTTATTTTTTTTCTTTCTTTTTTTTTTTTTAACATTGAATCAATATCTATGGAAGAAAATGATCGAATTTACGACTATTTTTGTCTGTCGTATTCATGTACTTTCTATCGCGAATAAAATAATTGACGCTATTATGTGTACGTACGTGCGTGCGTGCGTGCGTGCGTCGCGCTATAAAATTATATAGATGTACCAAAAAAAAAAATTATACACATACCTTATATATGTACATAAAGGATGCGCGCTCGTTCGTACGCACGCACGCAATTCTTAAAAGAATGGTAATTGTATCTATGTACTAACCGGATATATCATTTTCCCTCTTTGAAATATACAAAATTCGCGAATAAACTCGTTAACTATCAATTTACGAGAATTTCGATTACGATCTAAAGTAATTTTTAAATTTTCTGACAATCTTTCTATGTGTATCATACTAAAGATTCTAAATGACGATCGATCAAAATTCATTTATTCCTTGAACAGTAATCATTCTAATTTTGTTTCTTTTTTTTTTTTTCTCGAAGGAGAGGGAGAAGAGTATCTTCTTTTCTTTTTTTTTTCTCTCTTGTGTTTTTTATTAATCTCACTCTTGTACCATACCAAAGTTATAATTAAACGCGAAAAAGAGTGTGTTAAGATACAATAAACGTTTAAAGGACTTGGACAAACCAAATAAATAAAATATATATATATATATATATATATACATATACATATATATACAATATGAATAAAATTATAGTCGTAAGGAATATCATCGTGAGCAACGCATCTAAAGAGGGTAACACGTATATAATACCGATACGATATATCGAGGAATGGTTACCTTGTGTTCTATTTATGACGCAACGATGCTGTAAAAGTTGCGCTGTATGAATTATAAAACAATGAAGAAAAGTAAAAAGAGAAAGAAAGAAAATAAGAAGATAAGATGCGAGAGAAAATTGCAGTTAAAAAAAAAAGAAAAAAAAAAAGAAAAATCGCATAGTTGTTATTCGATGTGCAAAATGGATATATTTATCCGATGTTTATCCCATTGAGGAAAATAAATTTCCTCGAAAAATGCTGACTCACGAAGAGAAATGTATATGAAAGTGAGCTCTTTGTGTTCCCTTTTCTCCTTTCCAAGAAAAAAAAAAAAAAAAAAAGAAAAAGAAAGAAATAAAAAGAAAATAAGAAAAATCATCGTGATGCGATTGTGTGGGAAGATCGAGCGTAGAAAAGAGCTGATCGAGAGTTAGCGCGTAACAGGGTATCGGATATTAAAAGAAAATAAAAGAAAAAAAAAATGTAAAAATTCATAACGAAGCCGGCCGAAGTGAAAGAAAACGACAAAAAATAAAAAGAAGGAAAAGAAAACTAATTTTGTTTAACTCGCCGTAGTAAAGCGTTAAACATTTTCAACTTCTGTCCCATTTCTCAAAAATTGATTTTATCGATTATTCCTAATGAATTATCGATCAAGAGAAAGGATTAACATCGTTTCTTTCTTTTCTATTATATCATTTACTCGATCTTGCGACTGGGAAGACGCATCTGCACGTCCGAAGCGAACCATACATATACATATATATGTAATATATACATATATGTGTGTGTACGCGCGTTTGATGTGTGTTAGTGTGTATGTTGCGTGCGTGTGCATGAATGTACGTACGAATGCATGTGCATGGGTATATGCGTGTGCATGATGTATGTACGAATGCATAAGATAATCACATAATATAGATGTGATATAATATCGCTTTAGAGTGACGTTCGTCAGATCTATGGTTGAAAACCAAATAGATTTTGTATTATACGGCACTGCGTAAGGATATTTCGAAAATCATTGACTGTAGTATAAATTAAAAAGTAAAAACAAAAAAAAAAAAAAAGAAAAAAGAAAAGGAAAGAAAAAACAAGAATGTACGTACTTAACGTCCCGTTTTAATTTCGCGATGTGTTGTAGCATGTACAAGCACTTAGGTGATATATATACACACACACACATATATATATATACATATATATATATATTTTAGAGATGTCGAATATATATGTCAAAACTCGTTTCCAGCTGGTCTGATCGGGTATTATTCTAATATAATTACGATGCGTTTATAACTGGCAGAGATGCGAGTAGCAAATTAATCTTTGTAAGAATAACAAAAAAAAGCGCATGCAATCCGAAGATTTGACGTATGATGAGTATAATTAAAATACATTTATGAACGTTTGTCTATGCTGTTTTTGCGAAAATTTGAGTATGAAACGAGGAGTCCGAGATTTCTGTACCCACCCTCATTCGATGAATAAAAATCTTCCATGATACGAAGAACGTCAAAGTTAACAAAAGCTTTGTTTATATCTTTAATAGTTAGGAAAAATATAATACGTTCCCTTCTTCATAAAGAAGAAAAATAATCAATCTATTACGTTTTAATTTTAATAAATTTATATTTACATCGTACGTCATTTTTTAGTACAGCTATTTTAAGTATTTCTCAATTAAAAACTTATTTATTAAAAATTTTTTTATATATAATAATTATTTGAATTTTGATAATTTTTAATTGAAAGGACTGATGTTAAAATAATTGTTCATACCTATATCAATTTTGTTTCGAGAAAAATAATAATTATTATTACATTTTCGTTTTTTATAATAATTCCAATCAGTCCTATTATTTATTTTGTTGTTATTTATTTCAAATTTAACAGTACAGTGATACTTATTTTATCTTTTAATAAGGCGCATATCATATCTTTCTGGAAAGATTGTAATTCGATTAATTCAATTCAATAGTCACATTACAAATGCATTTCTTTTTCTTTTTCTATATTAACCAGTCTTATTTGAAGAGTATAAAATAACGTTTCCTTGTTCGTTTACGTTCGTATCTATAATATACTTATAAGGAATTTATTCATTAAATTATATCATTATTCGTAACATATCTTATTTCAAAATCCGTCAAAATTATATATCGTGATCTTACTTTGTCGGGTCATGTTGAAATATTTTTAAAATTCGTTAAATAAATTAGTATCTAACATTAATATATTTGTTTGTGATTATGTGAGAACATTATATGACGTTGTTATCGAATTTTGGTTATTTTCTACTTAAACCCAAATTATGATTCTTAGAAAAAAAAAAAAGAATGAAAATATTTATGATTTATCTTAATCCTCTATAACTCGATTTTTTCGCGATCGAGATGAAAAAATATTATAGATAAAAGTTACTTGTTCTTTTACGTAAAATATGATCATAAAAAATATAACTTGCTATTTAAAAAAACAAAGTTGACTTTTAAATGACCTTCGAACCTTCTACTAAATAAAAAAACAATAAATGCCATAATATCTCTACCTTAAAATCAGATAACTTTTGTCTGAACAATTCTTCTCTAAAATGTCATGCTTACGAGAAAAAAATTTTGTAATGCTATATTCTGAACATAGTATATATTATAATATATTATTATTATATATACTACATTAAGTATAACTTAGATAAAAAAAAATATTAAAAACTTTCTATACAAACTAATAAATAATTTTATTTGTTATAAAATGAAATAAAAAGTACAAATATATGTCTATATACTTAAGTATATGGTTTAAAAGTTATTCGACGTTATAGAGGGCTAATGTTTTGTAATAATACGTTCCAATGATGCGAGAGGAAAGATATGCATGTTTATTGCGTTTAAAAAATTCTCTAATACTTGAGCGGAAGTATAAATTGTCAAAATATAAAATATAATGAATTTTTTTCACTCATTAAAATTATGAACGTATTTAAAGATACGTTAAAGTACAAGTTAGGTCACGATATTGATAATTTTCGCAAGACCACTCTACTTGTGTGGTCGTACCTTTATCATGAAAGATTCGATAATTTTTAAAAACTTTCTGATTGCGTAATATACTCGTACATTATCTTATTACATTAAAGATATAATTATTATATCGTTAATAGATATAATTATTATTATTATTATTATTATTTATATTTTTTATTATTATTATTGCGGCTATACTCTCCATAAAAGACATGTACCGTACATACAAAGTTTTAATAAAAGGTCGTATACTGTGGTCATGTAGTAAATGATAACGTTAAAGTGTGGTCGTAGGTTGATCAACACGGTCGTCAACAAAGATCTCGAAGGCCAACGATACTTCGTTCTGGTTACAGACATGGATAATAAAGTTTTTCTGTTTATCTCTTGAACTCGCTTCGTCACAACTCATCCTCGGTCAAGTAAATAAATTTATAAATCGTACTAGAAGTTCGTACGTGCGTTAGTACTATCTCGTCTCTCGGGAAGAATTTGTCACGTTAAAAATAATTAATTTTTCTCCCATCGTTATTTTCACTTTCGATTAAACAAATCAAAAACGATTTATACAAGCTCATTAAATCCGTTATAGATCGTACATTATACGATTCTTTTTTACCAGTCGATGATCAAATCAAAGCAATCTGATTGTGACTATATGAGTCTTATAATTATTGAGAAGTATCCAGATCAAAAATTGGTGGAAGTGCTCGAAAGCGAAGCTTCTAGTAAATCAAACAAAATTGGTGAATACATACATACTACGTTTTTGAAAAACCTACTTAAAGAATTGCTTTTTGAAAGTTGTCCAGGTTAGTGCATTGTTTATATCATTTTTGATGTTTCTATTATAATGCAGAAAAAATTTCTATACTTGAATAATGATAGATTACTGAAAATTTTCCAAATGTTTATATTGATGCAATATCGCCTGTGCAGCATAAATAAAATATTACATTTCATCATCAAACAGTTATTATCAATTAATAACTTAAAATTAAGCTAATTATGCTCGTTATATAAAATTTATTTTTATTTTCATTATTAATTAGTTAACTTTTATTTCTGTTAATAATTAAAGAACAAATATTATAAATCTATATATATTAATTGATATCATCTTAATAGTGTTAAACTTGAAACACTTGCATATATATTGGAAATACATAAAAAAATTATAAGACAAAATTAAAATTTTATAGTCAAATTCTTTGATAAGTATCCACTCCCCTTTTCTAGATTGTAAAAAAATGGCTGCAGTACCACAAGCAGCGTTTGCAGCGAGCAAAGTCCGACATAATGAGAAACATGATAATAGTATGATATCAGTGATAGAAGGAAAAGAAAAAGCAAGCAAAGAAAACACATACAATGGTAGATTCTACCTAGAAGGTAATGCAGATTTGGATATAATATGTTTACTAACAAATTATACAAAATTCATTCTAATGTCATTTTACTATATAGTAATATTACTATTTATAGTATATCTCATAGTCTTATCAAATACTAATCATTAATATGATTTTTTTAAGCATAACATTAATACTAATACTAAATAAAGAACATTTTTCTGTTAGTTTGACGTACCATTTTAAATGAAAAGTATCAAATTAATAAATTAAATTATATAAAATATAAGCAAAACGTATGAAGTATAAAGAGAATATTATAAAGGAAAATTAAATAGCGTCTAATAATTTAATTTATTGAAATTGAATATTTCTTTTGGATGATATTAATTTTAGGTTGGGAACTCACGCCCTTGAAATATAACAGCAAACTGATGAACAGCATTTGGGGTTTATATAACCGTTATTCTGTACATAATTTCAAGAAAAATACTGATGCCGACGAAGGATTCTTAGCGACTGTATGGCAGACGGTTTATTCAAATCCTTCTTCCGTTATGTCTGCTTCAGTCGTTTCAGCTTCGACTACTATGGAAACTCCTCGCATTTTAGGTACCAGAAATGGTATCTAATGGATCGAATATTTCCAATATGATAGTTTCGAGGGTTACATTTACTATGAATATATCATCAGCAGTCAATAAAATAGCGTACCAATTAATTTTATGCTAGTAGGAGAATATTTAAATTAACCCTTTCTATTAATCTTACTGTATTATACAGGAAAAAGTATGATTGTTTTTAAAAATCTTGATATATATTTGAAATGTAACAATTAATCGAAAAGTTAATATTTTTCGAAATATAGAAATAATAATCCAAACTACTAAGCTATAGATAAGCTAATGAACTATGCGCAGTTCTCAATTCACGGGAATAGTGTTTTTTTTTACTACTCGTGATAGTTACTAGGATAACGAATGAGAATCAGGCTTTTTCGAATAATCAAGATAATTGCTTATTTGATTTTAAACAGTTATTCGTAAACAAATATTCGTATTTTGATATGTAAATATGTATGTATCCAAATTTACGATATATGTATTTCTATATGTTAAGATAATTTACGAAAATTTCTTACTACAGTGTAAAGTCAACTGGTTCGTTAACTGGAATAGGAACAGTAAATAAACTGTTATTTGCCATGAATGAATGAATTTTTATTTAATTAAAAATATATTCATATAACATTTTATCATGCTATCATTCGAATGATTTTCGAATAATTATTAAAATAATAATAATTTATTACGAATAACCAATTATTAATCCGAAGAAATATTCGGATAAGTAGCAAATATTTATTTGAAACAATTCTAGTTTACTCAATTCTGATATTGTATCAATTTCAAATGATAAGGAAACTGATCCTATATTATCATTATTGATATTGTAATACGAGTATTGTTACTATTAATATTAATTTTCTCTATTATTATTATTATTATTATTAATACTACTACTATTATTATTACTACAATTATTATTACAATCTTTAATACGAGCCACTCATTATAATATACAAATTGATGAATGGATAATAATTTTCATAGGATGTTTAAAAAATGTAATACATTTATTTTACACATTCTATATAAATATTATATAATCACAGAAGTTTTGACACAATATTATCTTTTGAATTTGACCTGATATCTTCGAAAAATTATTTTTTATTTTACTCTTTTTATCACGTTATATATCTTCAATTTAGTATGAGACTTGTTTCGATATGTACGACATCTACCGGATAATTAAAGAATTACTTCATGATTATATATGAAACCTGTGATCATTTACAAAAACTTTTTTAACCAAGTATGAATGAAGTATCAATTATAAATTTTGAAATCGGTATATAGTAAACTGATAATGAAATGCAAGCAAGAAAATCTCTTGAATTAACACTAGCTATACTTAAACCACATGTTGTTAAATGCCCTTTCGTGCTTCAGGTAAAGTTTTAACTTTAGCATTCGTTATTTATCTTTAGTTTCCAGCCAATATATACTTATGTAAATGATAGAGAAATTTTTAAAGGTCTTGCACTTTTCAGAAAATTCGTGACTTGATAATCGAAAATAATTTCAAAATTGTTAGAACGCGCAGAACTATCTTGACGTCTGAAGAAGCAGCATTGTTTTACTTTGATCACAAAGATAAGTTCTTTTACAATCGTCTGTTAACTTTTATGTGTAGTGGCCCATCAGATATTCATATATTAGCTGGTCATGATGCTATTGTACGATGGAGAGAATTGATGGGTCCTACTAAAACATATCAAGCTCAATATATAGCACCAAATAGTATTCGAGGTATGTTTGGTCTTTCGGATACTAGGAATGCAACTCATGGGTCGGGTAAGATATGCCCGAAGTAACTTGCTGTACATATGCTGTAAATCTAAGGGAAAATAACTTTTATTTTAGATTCTCCAGAAGCTGTGAAACGAGAAATAGCAATATTTTTTGAAGACTTTGATATGAAACAGTGGTATGAAAGAGAAGAAATATTTTATAACTTAGAAAAACTACAATTTGATCCAATATCTTTTGTACATATTATTGACAAAAGTTCTTTAGTTCCTACTAAATGACAAAACATAAGAAGGGAAACATGCAAAATAGCTTTGCTAACAAGTAACAGATTAAATAAAATCTAGTTAAATGAATTTATAAAATAAAAATATCACAGAGTCATAAATTAGAATAGATATGTTGTATAATGTTAAAACATGAGTATATATTTTTTGGAAAAATACATATAATATATATTTCATTGTCACTTGAAATTGCAATATACAAACTAATTATAAATAATGAGACTAGACAATTTTCACATAAAATGTATATACAAATTATTTTTTGATTTGCGAAACGATTGACTTAAAGTCAATTGTGCAAATACAATATACAACATTTTATTAATATATTTTGTTAAAAACGCTTCCCTGTTTGTACCCATTTAATCTGTTATGAATCTAACATTTAAGCATTTATTTTCACATAAACTTTAGGCCTTGAAAATACTTTTATAGCTTCCTCTAGTTTATTCAATTGTTTTTCAATTTCCATTTTCCTTTTCTGAGCTCTGAGTGTATCTGTTTTTATTGGCATCATGTTTAATTCGTTAACATAATCTTGATAATCTGTAATAATTACTTTTAGAAGTTTTGTATGAAACATCTTATTTGTAGCTATATTGAATGAAGTATTTACAACAGACCACTTGAATATTTATTATAGCTTGGAAGATAGGAAAAATATTTCAAGTTGTTTGTTAACAACAGGGCTAACTTGTGATAACAAATATTTTTCAAATTGACATGCTTAGATCATCTTTCTTTTTTTAAATGGTATTATATATTTTTTGATATTTACCATTCTCTAGATAATTTCATACAATCATTAATATTTAAGATCGTGGTAAAAAAAAGAGATGGAAAATGTTATATATTCACGCTTTTATTAAATTGAATAAAATTGTAATTGTAATTCTATTTATTTTGGTTAGACAGTTTTAAGACAGCCAGACTTAATTTATTTAACACTACTGAGCTTAAGATTGGATAGAGATAATTTGTGTAGTAAAGCTTATATCAGAAAAATGTCTAGAAAAAATAAATAGCATTACAATTTAATAAAACCATGAATCTATTCTAGAAATTAAATGTCTTTTCATATCTGTAATTTTAAATGATTTTGAATAATTAAAATCATTATATTTAAAAATCATGGATGTCTGAAAATAAGAGTGACTTATATTTCTTCTGAAACCCTTCCTATAAATTTTTACTATTTTTTCTGTATCAAATAATTATTACTTGAAACATTTTATTCTATTTTTAAAGTTAAAATATGTTGACTTGTTTTAAATGCCTCACCCAATATAGTGCAGTTAATTTAAGAAATATACTTTTTTTCAGCATTCGCAAGGTCTCCTGACGCTCGTGGTCCGGTAAGGGGACATGACCTTCTGGACATTCAGGGCAGAATGCAGCTGTTTTAGCTTCTTCTGCTTTTTGTTGAGCTTCCTTTCGATCCTTAATATATCTGGGATAAAAAATTAATTACTTAAACAATTATATGTGTCAAATATATATCATTATATCTTTTCAAAAATAAATAAAATGCATAGACAAACACTTAAGTTAAACATAAAACTTCTGGGAAGTTACTTTTAACATCATACTTGGGGACAACTCCCTTGCGATAATTGGTAGGAACTACACCATTATTCAACTGTGCAGCTATTTTAGTAGCGACAGAATTACGATCTTTACTTGGCTTTACAATGTCAGTTTTTTCATTGATTATTGGTAACTCTGAAATTTTTGGGGAATCATGTAATTCTATACTGGCAAATTGCGCACTTTCTAGTTCTGATGGACTATTTAAAAGTTTATAAGATTCACTTTTATTTTTTTCTTCATTATTCTTTAAATTCTTCTTAGTGGGATATCTGCACATAAATTTAATTTAAATAATTTAATAATAAATTTTTATTTGAACAAATTTAATAATAAAAATTAAATCTTACTATAAATATGTTCATGGATATTTGCAATTTAAATTACCTGATAATACCTTCCATGTACAGCTGATCTATGTGTTTCTCTTCTATTGTTTGAATACCTTTATGTTTATACTTAGTATTTAAAGATAAAGGAGAACTATTTACATCCTCTCGAGATTTCTCTATAAAATTTGGGTCAGATGTTACCTTTATTTTAGATCCTGGCTGAACATTTTTATTATCTATATTTTCTTTTCTTGTTTGTTTGTTTATCAATTTATTTGTTAATGAATTGAGTGGTTTTTTTATAGGCACAGAATTCTTTTTATTAAGTATAGGAGTACTTATTTTTCGTAATGGTTCTTTCTCTATAATTTCTATTTGTTTATTTGACATATTTTCCATATGATTATTCTGTAAGTTTCCATGGAAACTAGTATTTACTTTTGCAGTAATGTTGGAATATTTATTTACTTTTTTTCTATGTCTATTTATCTGGAATTTTTCTAGCTCATCAGATTCTTTATTGGAATGAAAACATTGTTCCATTCGTCGTAAATTTTTTACATTTTCTTGAATAAAATTTTTCTTTCTGGTTGTTGCTAAATAATAAATAGTATATGTATTTTATAAAATAAATGTCATGTTATGAATGTTATATTTTCTACATAATTAAATACTATTTTATATCTAAAAATGAATATCGTTTAATACTTACTTAGGTTAGGAAAAACACCTTTTAATGTAGCCATTTTTAAAACAAATCTCTAAACAATAAAAACGATCATTGATTTATTATTGTGGGGTTATTAATAATTTTATAACAAATAATGAAAATATAATTCACATGACGACCGTTAGATTAAAACGAAGATAGTATTATTGATGCTAGTCGATTTTTCTTTATAGCAATAAAAAATTTCGCTCAGAGGGTTATTCGCCAACACATGACTCAATTTTGAATAGTCTTCGTTACCAAACAAACGATGTTGTTTACAAACCATGGCGAAATGCTGTCAAACTCTCAATATTACCAACATATTTTTTTAAGGGAAAATAACACCAAAATTTGCGATGGTTGAAGCGCTACCTAGTTATAAATTTCGGAAGTTTCGTCATTTATAGCGAATGTGTATATATATAATATATATATCATATTACAGATATATATATAAAATCACAACTGACCGCTAAAGTGATGGGTTAAAAATGAAGCTTTTTAAACTAATTGTACATCAAAAAAATTTTAGTGGTGAAGATTTAATAATTAATCCCAAAGATTATCCAGGCATAAAAACTGGAGATGTCGTTGAAATTTATCATCCTGAAGATGAGTTCAGCCGCTTACTCTTACAGGTTACATCTTTCAAAGAAGATCTTCAGGGACGAGAAACAATTAGTGTTGAAAATAATGTAGCGACGATGTTTCAGTTAAGAACTTTTGCTGATGTTTATATGAATATAGTAAATCCTGAAGATGTAGCACTGGATTCGGTTGAATTAACATTTAAAGATCAATATATGGGACGCAGTGAAATGTGGAGATTAAAAAATAGCTTGGTATATTAAAATTTATACTCATTAGATTATGCTTCAGTTATTGGAATTTATTACTGTACGTCTTATGTATTAGGTGAATACTTGCGTTTATATGAATAAGAAGATAGAATTTTGTGGAGGTAGCATTCGATGTCAAGTATATGAAATGTGGTCTCAAGGTGATAGAGTTGCTTGTGGTGTTATTACTGATGACACTAAGGTATGGATAGGATTATTCTGTTGTAATATATCATTAATATAGTATATAATATAATTTTTTAATATAGTTTTTTATACATTAAATTATTTACTGGCTTTTTTTAATTATTATATCATTTAGGTAGTCTTTCGTTCTTCAACAAGTATGGTTTATCTTTTTATTCAAATGAGCTCAGAAATGTGGGATTTTGATATTCATGGTGATCTTTATTTCGAAAAAGCAGTAAATGGATTTTTAGCAGACTTGTTTCAAAAATGGAAGAAGAATGGTAGTAATCATGAAGTAACAATAGTTTTGTTTTCAAGAACATTTTATAATGCTACGAATTTAGAAGAATTTCCAAATCATATGAGAGATTGTTTACAACATGATTATAGAGGTCGATTTTATGAAGATTTTTATAGAGTAGCAGTACAGAATGAAAGATATGAAGATTGGAGTAATGTATTGGTACAATTACGTAAATTGTTTACTGATTATCAAAAGTTTGTATTGGAATATCACCAAAGACCAGATGTTAGTATGCCAAAAGCAATAAATTCTACAGCAGCACAAGGAAATTTTTTAGAAGTTTTGAACATGTCATTAAATGGTAATAATCAGTAATTATAAGCAAACCACATTTTATTCTACATATTAATCCACATTTATTTTACAGTTTTTGAAAAACATTATCTTGACCGTAGTTTTGATAGAACAGGTCAATTGTCAGTTGTAATTACTCCAGGAGTAGGTGTATTTGAAGTTGATAGAGAATTGACAAATGTTACTAAACAAAGGGTTATTGATAATGGAGTAAACAGTGATTTAGTTTGTGTTGGAGAACAACCATTGCATGCAGTTCCTTTATTAAAGGTAGTAAATTTTATGCAATGTTGTAGTGATGATATAGCAGTATACATTATATAGTCTTGGCTTTTTTGTAATTTACATATTTTTTTTTTTGCATGTTTCTATAATTATAATATTGCTTATATTCCTTTAAGGAATATATTATTATCAGAAACATTATTTTAGTTTCATAATAAAGATACATCTATAAATGCACCAGATGACTACAGTATGCCTCATTGGATTAATCTTAGTTTTTATTCAACAAATAAAAAAATACCTTATTCTACCTTTATACCACGCATAAAATTGCCTCAAAAGGTGTCAAAACATTCTATGGACAATGGTAGATTAAATTGTAAAACTAAGCTTTTACAAGAAGACCCTAGGGAATGCTTGCATAATTCTTTATTTGATTATGATGCTTATGATGCTCAAGTTTTTCAATTGCCACATGTTCATACTTCAAGGTATTATATACCATTATTGTCATACATTTTTTGTTCTTTCTACAATATATTATGTAATTTCAATTTTTAATTAAAGTAGTTTGCAAAGAGTTACTACAAGAACTAAAAAAACAAGTGTGGCATGCATTGAGACTCATAATAATGCTCACATATTAAAGCTTTTAAAACGTAAAATGTCAGATCCTGATATTCATCACCCATCACCTGAAACACATGCATTAATACCAGCAGCCGCAAGAAGTGCTGCAATCTCTATACCCCATCGGACAGAAAGTGTTGAAAATAATGATTCTAATGAGGAAACAAATGGTATGTATACAATAATTATATTTTTTAAAATATTTCAAATAATAAAAATCGCATATAATATATATATGTATATATATATATATTTATATTTAAATTTGTTATTTTAATAGTATCAAGAACATCTATCAAAAGTGATATAACCGATTCTGAAATATCACCACCATTCAGACCAGTTGTTGGAAGTGCTGGTAGTCCAACTAATTCAATTTCCCAACCTGCAAATATAGTTAGACCTAGCAGAGCACTTATTAATCCTTTTGATCCCTCACATGTTACTATAAAATTGACCAGTAATAGGCGCAGATGGAGCCATATTTTTCCTAAAGGTAACTATAATTGTTAGATTATAATATTATATTTTATAGCAGCAATAATTTTAGGTCCAACGGGTGTTTTGATACAACAACATCACTATCAAGCTGTTCCCGCACAGTCACATCCTGAACCCCAGAGTGATACTACTTCAACATTGAGTGGATCTCCTATGGAGCAAATTACAACTACTAGCAATCCACATCACATATCAAGATCAGCTTCTCAAATTGGATTTCAAGATCGTTAGTATTCAGTGCTATTTAGAATATCTATATTTGATTTTTGATTGCATGATATTTTTTTAATTTTAGATACAAAAGGGAAATTTCAGCGCATAAATTTGATAGGTGGAGATAGAGTATCAAATACTAATTCATCTGGAACTAATAAGAGTTTAACTCTTTTATGGGGTGCCACTGGTGAACAGGAGTGGACACCAGCACTTACAACAGGTTTGCCGATAATTATTCCAAGTATTTCTATGCACAAATTTTACATAAAGTAAGATGAATTATTATTAACAAGATAAAGTGAACAAATTATTACATAATCAAAATTTAGTAGGATTACAGTGTAAATGAGAGAATCTCCAAGTAATCTGCAATGATTTTTTTATATAACTATTCACATCATTCCATCATACATATAAACTGCTTCTTGTGTGGTTTTTGCATTAGTACATATTTATTTCATCATCAAATTTTTTTAAAACTATCATCGAATCTTTATATTAATTATCTTAAAATATAATTCAATCAGTAATTACATAAATAAAGCATTGTTTATATTTACTTGAGACAGATTCATTAAAGAAGCAATATCGTTCACACTGTCATATCAGGCATTAATAAGGATTAAAAGGACTATTGATTTTTAGAAATATTTTTACTTATTCTCAACATAAACCAATCGGAGATATAGAAAATAATGGTATTGCATTTATTTCCATGTTATGGTACGTCTTATTGGGACGCAACGCTGGACGTATTGATGCGTGTGTGCAACTATGATGTCACATTAAACAGCAATCATAGGTTAGCGCCATATATTACTGAAAATTGATTCGGTTATGGTATACATTTATTTTGGGATATTGAGTCTAAGTAGAACTGTCACTACTCTAGATTAGTTTCTCATTGTCTCTCTAATTTCTATTCTTGTTTTTTGTGCATGCATATTGTACATAGCTATTTGTGTGTAATTCAAATTGAACTTCTTTATTAATGTAGTAACTTATTTCAAGCTATGTGGTCCTTATTTAGAATATGTCCTTAATATCATAAACGTTTTTTTTTGTCAGTTACTTCTGTTTCATTGTTAATTAATTTTAGTGATATTTAAGGGATTTAATAATATTTATTTGTTATTTGTATAACACTTTGATTATGGATTTGCATATTTGTATATGTATTCTATACATGCACTTAAATGTGTGCAAACAATATTTAATTGTATTTTATCAAATGCTTTTATACAGATGTTTCTCTCTTAAAATCTGCTTTTTTTTTAGAAGATGTAACCTTCTGCAAACTTAGGAAATCAATCCAATACTACACGGTTTATACAATTCTTCTGTTTTACAGTTCTTTTGTACTTCATATTGTATATGTCATATCGTAATATTATTTATCTTTTAATCTATGCTTTTTGCCATTTTAAGGTAATCAAATGTGCAATGTAAAATTAATATTTATATGCAAGTTAGGCACCACATAAATAATATATAATTTATATGAAAATAATATTCATACAAGCATATACATTTGAATACCTAAAAATATCTATTTACTAGAAGTATGTAGCAATATCATTTTTAATATACATCTTCATGCTTAAAAGCAGCTCTGCATCTAATACGGCACGACATATGCACGCACGTGACACACGCACGCGTACATACGAGGGTAATCCCAGAAGTACCCGATCTGATGTATAGATAGCGATTGTTGTTTGAAAAGAATGACTATGGAAGAAAGTACTAACCTTATAAAGCTTTATTTTGAAGTTTAACGACGTTACGTTATTTAATATTTATTTGGCAGTCATCAATAGTGAAAGCTCTAAGTGAATTTGTAAACATGGATAAAATTGGTCATCGTAATGTGATATAATACTTTCATTTGAAAGGCCTCAGTCCAATTAATATCAAAGCGAAGTTAGATTCTACTCAGGGGAAATCTGCTCCTTCGTTTACAACAGTAAAATATTGGATGGTAAAATTTAAAAGAGGCCGTACGAACTGCCAAGACGAACATCGTAGTGGTCGACCAAATAAGGTGATCACGCCAGAAATGTTGAAGAAGATCTACAAAATGGTATTGGATGACCGACGACTGAAAGT